TTGTTGAAATTGTAGTTAGTAAGTCCAGACCTCGTTTGGCAGTTCTGTTGAGAATACTGTATGTGACATAATAGTTCAGAAAATATAGAAAATAAAGAAAACTGAACAGGTTTTACCTGCACTCCTTCAAGAACACATCAAACGGCATTTAACGGCTAAGAAAATGAATTTTGCATGATATGGCTCCTTTAAAWAATKAACTTTTTGTGGTTATATTTGGTATCATGCTTCTGTAAAGTTCATCTATCTAATCTATCTCTATAAACCAGTAACCAAATGATAAGACTTTGATAATTTCAGTATGCACGGCTCACCACACATTGTTCAGATAAATTTTCAGACACTGTTCTTCTTTGTTTATTGTGTGTGTCCAGCCTGGAAGAAGATGTTTCAAATTTGCGTTTCGAACAGTGAGCTCAGTTAGGCCCCGCCCTCCAGCGCTCCGTCCAATCAGAGCGAAGGACGTAAACTCGGCTTCATACGCAGCAGCAGCAGCAGAGAGCGGAGAGTGTGGGGGGAGGGTCACGTGTGTACACACTGACTGCGGGCTCTCCCAGCTCGGTGTAGTAAAGTCTGAAACGGTCGGCCCCTTTTCCGCACACCGAGCCTCGTACGAAAAGTTGATAGGTGAAAYGCGACCTAACGGAAACCCTTTACAACACTCAGTTTTGTTCGCCGAATATCTTGTTTTTATTTTTACGCTCTCGCGGGAACCGGAGGGAGCACTTTATTTTTTTTTAAAGAAGAAAATTGTCTCCAAATGAAGCGAGTGAGAAATGCCCGTGGAAATACTGCATCCAGATCCGATGCCTCCGTAGGTTTGTCATCGATCCAAACCTATACGTTTGTGGTGAGTTGTGTATTCGTGTCCTAAAATACAGCTTCTCGGTCGTTTTTACCATGAAAGTGAGTAAAAGTGAATTTGCCCCGCAGAGGGATGATAACATGGTAAAGTAAAGTGGCTTTATGTATGACAACATTGGCAGCAGAAACGGTAGGATAAAAGGTGTAGTCGTGACCTGCTCCTGTGTTTTGCATAATTAAATGTAGAAACAAGTTTTTTTTCCGTATCTTTGTTAGTTCTTTGACCCTATTTATGTTTTAAAAAACAACTTGGATTTGTTTAAACTCTCTCAAGTGCATGCAAAACCCAAATTTTAAGTGCTGTTTGAATTAAACTGTATGATGATTTGTATTTATAGAAACAATATATTTTGTTTAAATTGCATACTCCCATGGAACTTGACCTGGTGTCACAATAATGTACTGCTTCACTACAAAACCTCTAAATCGAACAGTTGTTTAAAGGTATTTATTGTCAAGTATGAAAGCAGGCATCAAACTGCTTGTTCTGAATCAAATGGTGCAGTTTGAAATAGTTAAGTTTTCCCACATATGYCCGTGTGCAATTCTAAATGCAGGTACTCACTCAATGTAAACAAAACACTTARCTGAAGCCAACAAATGCAAAAAACCGTCCAAAATGTTAAAACCGAACTTCTGTTCTGAAGCTGAAGACATTTCGCTTCATCRGTTCAAAATGTCTGGAACAAACACACAATGAATACACAGAAACAATGCTCCTCATGAATGGTGCGTTGCACTTGTTTGCACCGATTTCCTCCATGTGACCACAGAGGACGTGGGCGTGCTGGGGGCCTAGCTCAGAGGTGGTAAGCCTGCTTTGTGCTGACCGTTGAACTCTGACTGAGTTGATGCCTGTCACAGTCAAACTTTAGCAGAAAAGATCCTGGGAGCCCGATCGTGACCTGTTTTTGACCACAGTCTATTAGAACTTGAAGCGCTGTTTTGCCACAAACAGYSCGTCATTGTTCAGCGCTATTTGTGTGGGTTGGTTTGTTTTTCCCAAACACCAATGTTCCATTAATGTTGTTGTTGTTCCTYGAAGGAATGCATATCTCCCACTGCYTTTAATGCCAGAGTTTTAGAGTAAGATCATCCTATGTTGAGTAATAAACAAACATTTTTAGCTGTTTTAGTCAGTGTTATGATGATCTCATGCAGTATTTCAAGATGTCACACTCAGAGGATRTGTTGTGAATGACTCCCAGCTATTTTTGTGTTTGATGATTTTTAAAAGCTGTRATGACCATGTTGGATTGAATTTACTCCGAAAGTTAATCAGTTGTAGATGTACATCTAAKGATTACGTTCTGAGGGTATCATTAAAGTCTGTCCAGTAGTTCATGAGATATTTTGCTAACAGACAAAATATTTCTCAAGAAATCACATCGAGCATAAACTGCCATCCGCCCCTGACATTGCCGCATCACCACAAGCGTAAAGGTGGTTCATGTTTTTTCTGTGGTATTTCTTTAACTGCTCTTCTGCAGAAGCCAGTAGGAAATCACGTGGTATCATTAAGTTCTTTCTGAGAAAGGCCTGTAAGTTCCTGTCCCGATACATGAGCAGTGCTGGCCGAGTGTGTCACATTGCTCCCAATCAGCCTGCGAGATCTGGCTTTCAGAGCGCTTGAGAGTCCGAGCCCTCAAAGCACCGCCAACAGAGCGATCCTGTTTGGAGGCCTGGAGCATGCTGAAGCATGGGCCTCCCCCCCCCCGCCCTCCGGGAATATTTCACTTAACAAATTTTGACGTGGAGTCATTCAGAAAGTTCAGACTTAGGTAAGTTTACCCCTGCAGTCTGGGAAGATGGACAGAAACTTGTCAGCGTGAGCTTGAAGGACTTTCTTTTGGTCTGTTGTTGTAGTTGTTATTTTTGCTGTTTTGATTGCTTTATTTTAGTTCTTCTCAATCCCAGCAGCCTCACCTCCAGCTTTGGTTACAAGTTTTTTTTCCCCCAGTAGATCAAAAGGCATGTTAATGTCTTGGATTTGTTTTTCTTGGCTTCACATCAGAGCCTATCAATTACAAAACGTCTGGTTGGAGTCTACATGAGATATTATAGTTCATAATTCCCTGGAAAACTATGCGGATTTGCACAGAGTGGGAGCGGAAATAACTACCTGGAATATCAACGTTGTTGGTGATCAAATACCTGAGCAGGACACTGGAGCTGACTAATCAAATAGGGCCTTTCCAAACAGGATAACAACTACATAGACACAAAAGTATACCCCCGCCCGAAAAAAAAAAAAAAAAAACTAATTCATTTCATGAATAGGAGAAAAGTCAGTGTAAGAAAAATGAGGTAGTTCTGGTGACTTCTTCTTATTTTTCTGTACCAGTATGATTTTATCTTTATGCTATCTGCACTTCTGATTGTGTATTTAGACTTATGCAGTAAAAGGTGAAAGAATCTTACTTTGTTAGGTTTATTAAAACAACATATCTTATTGTACAATTTAATCTTCTTACAATGTCCACCATGTGTGCACAGATTTTTTTTATCTAGTACCCAGACCATGACCATGAGAACTGGGGGGTGCTTAGGGTGCTACACCACCCCCTAGTGGATGTCAACAAATAACATAAGAATTAATCAATAAGCAAAATGGATGAATGAGTTGACAAATAAAAATAAAAAAGCATTCATCCATTAGGTTTGGGTAAGTTTGTAGTCAAATAGTATTTWTATGATAATGACTTATTTATCGGGAAATAAAGAGCCTGTATATCTGACCATAAAAAACACTTCTAAAACTGTGAAAAATACCGAATATAACCTTGTTTTACAGTCATAAATAACAGTTTTGCAGCAAGAAATTGATTCCCAAAAAGTTTTTAGATAAAATTAGCAGTTTTCTCTCAAGATTTATGTCGGGCGTTCTTGATTTTTTTTTTCCTAAAATGATTTCATGTACTGTTCATCTGCTGTAGATACATTTTTAGTCCTGAGACTTTTGCCTTCTATATGTCTACATTTTGAAGCACACACAAAACTATAAGCTATAATGTGCAGGTGCATAGACTGGATAGAAAATTAGTAAAAAATAAAGTCCAAAGAAAACTTGTGTACTGTTTGTTCTGTTTATTCGTCCTGCGCAAAACATGTTCCCAACTGTCATTATTTCTGAATGGAAGCTTAATGTTTCTCCTAGAACAGCAGTGACTAACTCACTGAGGGCCACATGAGCAATAGGGTTGTCCATAAAGGGCCAGTTGTAATTAAYTTTAACGTTTCACRTTTAACTTYRACWAAACATGAAACATCACGTTCCTTGTATCATTGCTAGATGAGCACCACTAATAAAAACAACTGAGCTTTGCGTGGCGTTTCCTGCATATAAATAGCATTTTAACATGCCCTCTTTTAAACACTGAAAACTACTACACGTACAKTGGACTAAATGTGAAATAAATCACGCAGAARGGGGTGTTTCCMGTTTGAATTTACAAYTTTTAAGTGGGAATTTTCCGGTTCCCAGCTAAACTGTGGCAAAAGTAGCAGGAGTAAATGTAGTGGAAAGGAGAATTTGCACGGCAAATTTTGACAGCTGCTGGCTACTTTTGAAACCTGTTCACTGCCTGTTCACCTAGCAGTAGTGCCATCGTTTTGCCAGTAAAATAATCAACGTGCATTATGGGTGATGTAGTTTGTGGTCAATGCTCACTTTAAGCATRAGACGATWYATTTTTGAAGCTCTMATGGGCCACATAAAATGCTGTGCTGGGCCACWTTTGGCCCGTGTACCTTGAGTTTGACACGTGCCCTAGAAAACAAATGAAGAACCTCTAATGGTCGAAGTGAACATTTTGTACTTTCAGTCTACGGTGTGGAACACTGGGGCAGTTCTTGATGTTCAGGAAACAGGAACCRTGTCTTCTTGCTTGTGATCTCAAGATAAGGTGGTTCATTTATAACCAAGAGGTTTCAGTAAGACTTGAAACAGTGACGACTTAAAAAAACAAAAAAAAACAGCCAGCAGCAGTTTGAAGCTACGGCGTGAGCCWGTGCGCTAATGAAAGGGGGGCGTTGGATGTCTGCATACAGCAGGTGCTAATGAATAGGGACAGCCTGCCGCAGTGCAGCGAGTTCTCTTTAATAATCATCAACTTCCCCTCAAGGCATTTTCCCTTCAAGTAATAAACTGTTTTTGAAAAGGTTATTAGTCAAATAATATCTACAGATAATTTATTCTACATCAGTAAAAAYCTGTTTCAGTCAATGAGTCACCTCACTACTGGTGTAAGCGAGACATTTACAAGAGTGTTTCTGTGTTCCTTTTTTTTCTTCTTCCCTTTTTGTAAGTCGTAACTCTACACTTTCCTCTCTCCGATCTAAGACCATTAAAGCCTGCGCTCCAGCCTCCTCTTTAGTCACATTACAGAGAACTGGAGTTGTGTACTGTGGAGCAGGGAGGGGGCTGTTTAGTGCTTGTGTGTCTGAGGCTGAAGGCCAAAACAGTCCCTCTGTAGTGGTGTTACGTAAGTGAACGGAAGAATGTTTCCTTTTTACTGGCATCATTACTCATCCTCCTGAAGACAAAACTCCCTTCCTTTCTCTTTGGTTTCCAGAAAATCCTTTGTAGATCAGTGCCCGTATTTTAATTACCGCCCACCACCGAAGGCAAAGCGATCATGTTTTTGCTTGTGTCTGTTAGTTTGTCTGGACCGTTTTCAGAATATCTCATGAAGCCATTAAAGGATTTTAATGAAACCTGCAGAAAGTAATCAATACAATCTACAATAGGGCTGCAACTAATGACTATTTTTATAGTCGACTAATCTGCAATTATTTTTTGATTAATCAATTTGTCAACAATTATTTCTGTCACAATGTCCATCTATGCTTCCTGTGGGCGCATCTCCTGTTCCAGCTCCAGTGCACATCTCATCTCAGCTGCTCATCATAACTGTGAATGTCACCATTATCCAGTCTGTCTACCTTAACATAAAAGGTAATATTCACATAACAAATTAAAATAATGACCCAAATGAATTGGAACCTTAAGCTTAATGGCATATTCATTTGTTTTTTTTTAACAATAATACATGTAAACATAATAAAAATGGAAATAAGAATAAATTAAACTGCAAGTAGTGTTTTAAACAAACAGCTTTGTGCAAATAACTCAAAAATAGTGACCTCTCCCCCAGAATAAGGGGTTGTTAACCTGCCCTGCTGGGTGTAGATGTAGCTTTGCAAGTCCAAAATAAAGTAAGGTATATGTGTAACATTTTTTTTTTTTTTTTGTTTTTTTGCAAATGTGCCAAACAAATATTCTTCAACAATGTGAGTGGAAGATGAAGCGGAATCGTGGAACTTTTTTAATGTTATTACTCAGAATGACAGCTTACTTCTTTTGGAGAGGTGGAGGGGCGTACACACATGCAATCGAACTGCACCAGAGTTCACTTTAACCAAACGGAGACCTAGGTTTTCAGACAACCTAGAGTTCGCTTTTTTGGTTCGCGTCCAAGTTTGATTATGTGTTTACGCCTCCCCAAACAAAGCGGACTTTCTAGGCAAATGGACTAGAGTTTGATTAAAGTGGACTAAATAGGGCTGGTGTGAATACATCCTTTAGAATAACTTTGGTTAAAGTGCCTGTGACATCAAATTTTTGTCATAAATTTGAATTCATTTTTGAAAAGGCAACACTGATAACATAATGCAAAACAAATTTCATACCGCTGAGATGCACAGTTGTTGAGATATTTGCATGTAAAGCAGCAGGAAGTGATGTCAAAGGGGAATGTCTGCATGTGAGCAGAGTATTGATAAAATGTCTGACAACACAGACTGTAGAGAAGAATCTGGTGTTTCTTTAGATTATTTTAAGTCACTGTCAGAGAGATGAAGAGTCAAAGTTCAAACAATGTTTCAATAAACAAAGATCAGAGTTAGAGGGTTTTCTTTCTTAAAGAGTTCCCCTTTGATGTCACTTCCTGTTTCATTTTGATTTGATTTGATTTAATTTATTGATTTAACAGGAAAAGATTACTAAAAATCGAGCTTGACTCAGCGTAATTGCTGTTTTACAGCAGGTTCCTGTTCTGCAGCACATAAAACACTCAGAAATACAGCATCACAATCACATCATTATACACCATAAACACAAAGACAAACAAGCATACCAAATTTCAGGAAGGCAGCATTTGCAAAATAGGGCGTCTAAATATGAGCACAACAAAAAGTGTCCAGCAGATGGCAGACAAGATTCTTCTTAAAGGGCTGTAGTTTTGAAATGGACTTTATGTTTTGAGGAATTTCATTCCATGCTTTAGTATAAACATAGAAGAAAGACCTCTGGCCGTAACAGTTTTTAAAAGTTGGTAATATCAGTTGTCCTTTTGTAACAGATCTAGTTGAATGACCACTTCCAGAATTTGATTTGGGCAACAATGCACAGAGAGTTCCATAAYTGGCACCTTGGAAGATCTGAAAATATAAATTAATACCACTATACAAAACATAATTCTGAAAAGTCAAGGCATCAGACAATGAAAGAACCGTACAGTGATGAGTCCAACCAGGAAGTTTTTTATGAATTTTGTAGGCCCTGTTGTAGAGCCTAACTATGGGTTGTAAGATTTCATTTGTTGTAAGAGACCAAACAGGTAAACAGTACGACATGGTTGAGAGTATAATGGCATGAAGATAGATATTTGAAATAGAAGATGTCAGATTGGATCTAATTTTTGAATAAACGTATAATTTCTGTTTAAACTTAGTGGTTAAGACTTGTACATGATCACGATAAGTCAAATGAGAATCCAAAGTAATTCCAAGATATTTGTAGGTAGTGACAATATCAAGGGGTTTGTTTAAAAAAGTGAGTTGATTTGTTATATTGAAATGTCTCCTGGGTGAGGAAAAATACATGCACACAGTTTTTTTAACATTAATTGACAAAAGATTRTCTTGAAGCCAACCATGAAATGTCTGAAGATCTGCTTGTAACTGACTATTAATAGATTCAATATTGAAATAAGACAAAAAAAGAACAGTATCATCAGCATACATTAAAATATTTGAATACTTCAATATTTTTGGAAGGTCATTTATGTATAATAGCTTTATGTATAATGGCCGAGCAAAATCCAAAAGAAAATATGCTGGTTATGTGACAAAATGGGTAAAACCATGTGTGTTATGCCAAGTTTCTTAAATATAATAATGATTTCTTTGATTGTTTGTATTTGAAGGATTTGCACGTCACAGGCTCTTTAAAGTCATATTCAAGAGTTTAAAAGTAAACATATAATCTATCCTGTTTGAAATCTAGTTGGATGTGGCAGTCCTTTAACACAATCAAAAAAATGTGAGAAGATGAGACAGGATGAATTATTACTATAATTCAGTGATTTAATAGGATGACACTTAATGCTAACAATAGCATAACTGATAGCACCCGCTTTCAAGAAACGTTGTAGAAAGCTGAGAAAATGGAATGGTTTAAAAAATATGACCTAAAAAGAATATAAAGATATCAGCAGCATCGGGAGGGACTAAATTAAAATTTTCTGCACTCCTAGATATTCTGTGTACATAAAAACATGTAATTAATGGCTAAAAAAGTAGATTTTGTGTTAAATGTCCTCTTTACCAATATATATTAAAGTAAGGTATAGTAAACACTGTATCTTACCAATGTTCATATTTCATGTCTTTTTTTTTCTTTTCCTTGCTAAAACCTTGTTGAATAATTAATTTACAATTACCTGAGAGTATGCAGAGGAACATTTTAAGAGCCTTTAAAAAAATTATCCATCAGGCTGCTGCTGACATGTGCAGTACTTTTTTTTTAACTTTTCCTGACCTTACAAGTCGTTCCACACTGACCCTTCAGCGCAGCCTGCGTCACATTTCACTCTTTTTTAATTTACACATCGCTACATTCCCAGCCCAGTCAACTTGGCAGTAAGCTGAACAGAAGATGAGTGTGCTTAGCTGAGAGCAGAAGCACAAAATCTGCTTGTCCAGTGTTTTACTTTATCTCGACCCGTGACCGCTCGGAAAGTGAGAGGCAAGCTCTGCGCAGGCGACTGTGACGGCGAGAGAAAGAGCCGCAGAGGGGAAAAAATTGCCAAGGTGTCGAACAAATGCAGGATAAGAGCTTCATCTGCTTAAACCAGTGCAGAAATCCTTTGGAGATTACAGCTTCTAACATATTGTGAGGCATTTGTATTCAGTCTGCCAGATGCATTGAAGGGAAATTAACAATCTGACCTCAGAGCATAATATCTCAGTCCTGATATTTATTTCTTTTTATGTCAAGGCCTTCTCTGCTGCCCACAATACTGCTTATAAAGCAAAGCCCTTATTGTGGTTTTAAATATACACAGAACATGCCAGATAAATTACATCAATAACAATTAAAACCTTGCATTCCTTTAAAGAGAATTTATTTTATGTCAGAGTTTTAAACTAAAATCATCTGAAGCTGAGACAGAACAAAGTTATTTTGTTTTATTTTATACTTTCATTAAAGGGAGGATGGTATTATGCAACATCAATTCTTTTGAGCTTTATATCATGTTATAATGTCATTCCCTAATCAAAAATATACCCACAGTGTTGCTTTGACTCATTCATGCATGTTTGAAAAATCCTTGAATCTCCTGCGGTGGCCATGTGGAGCTGCCTAAACGCTTGCTGGTACAAAGCTCCGCCTATTTACACAAAGCTCCTTCCTTGAGCTCAGACCCCAGCCGAGATCCCGCCCCCACAGAACACCCATCCCCCGAAGCATTATAAAAATGAGCTGAAGTGGGAGTGTTGGAAATGGTAGGAGGTTCTTAAAGGGGCAGAAGCTAATTTCAAGGTGTTTAGACAAGCTTTGATGCAAAGTCAAATTTATTTTTTGATATACAGCATTTTCTTAACAACTGAAGGCAACATAGTTACTTGATTGTTGTATAGAATTGAACTATGTGCCTGGAAAATACATAAGTTCTTTTTAAAAATTTTTTAATCCATTCACTGGTTCATGAGACATTTGGTAACACTACAAATAAATAAACATGCACACACATGACTCCTTTAGTCTAATCCTGGTTTCTGTGTTGCAGCGGATCTGTTGAAAGTGATTGTCCGAGCCCAGCGATGTGGATCTGCGTTCTTCACAATGACACGGACACCAGCATGGACTTCCAGCTCTGCCAGGACTTTGGCCTCATCTTATCGGTCCTCTCCCTCATCTACCTCCTGGTGTGTTTCCCCTTGGGCCTGTGCTACAACGTGCTGCTGGTGGCGGTGAACCTCTCCAACAAGGTCTCCATGACCATGCCCGACGTCTACTTCGTCAACATGGCCATCGCGGGCCTCGTGCTCAACCTAGTGGCGCCGGTGGAGCTCCTCGGCTCCGAGTTCACACGCTGGTACGCGTGGGAGTACAACAACGAGATCCACATCACCCTGCTCATCCTCTTCAACATCTCCTCCCTGGTCGTCATGTACTCCACCACGCTGCTCAGTCTGGACTACTACATCGAGCGGGCGCTCCCCCGGACGTACATGTCCAGCGTGTACAACACCAAACACGTGTGCGGGTTCATTTGGGGAGGCGCCGTGCTGACGAGCTTCTCTTCGCTGCTTTTCTACGTGTGCAACCACATCTCTACAAAGATGGTAGAGTGCTCCAAAATGCAGAACAAAGAGGCGGCAGACGCCATCATGATCTTCATTGGTTACGCCGTTCCGGCCGTCRCTGTGCTTTATGCGTTTGGGCTCATTTTACGCATCAGAAAGGAGTCTACGCCTCTGGATCAGGATTCAGCTCGCCTGGATCCGTCTATACACAGGCTGCTGCTAGCCTCGGTCTGCGTGCAGTTTGTCCTGTGGACCCCATACTACATGACCCTGTTGGTGCATACTGTAGCGGGTGCACCAGGGTATATTACCAGTGCACATTACATTCCTATCTATAGCTTCATGAAGTGTATATCTAAACTGATGGCTTTTTCCAGCAGCTTTGCGATGCCGCTTATGTACAGACGGATGAACAAAAACTTTTCCGGCAAGCTTCAGCGGCTGCTCAGGAGGCTGCATTGCAGGGATCAGTCCTGCCCTCATGAACGCTCAGTGGTGCAGCAAGTGGTGACGTGAAATTTCTCCCAGGCCCGGCCRCCAGCACTTTGTTCCCCATCCCAGTACCCCCACCACCACCCGCACAGAGCCCGCATCTGACTGGGCTTCCTCACGGCTCTGGATTGTGTGAGGAGCGACACTGCTGACTGTGGAATTTCCTGTCCCTTTTCCAGAACTCGGATCTGATCTCTCTGTTTTCCCACAGAGAAAGAACAAAAAATAATAATAATAACCACACACACAAAGTGCTGCTTTTTTTTAATCATTAAGTAAAGCTCACCATAAAGACTCTTGGGTATCTGGTTTAAGGTGTTACCGTTAGTACAATCATCCAACACAGAAACAATTACAATTTTTTTTTCTCCAAGCAATCTGGTATTGTTGTAGATGTGAGCTTGTTTTATTAATCTGATTACAAGTTGCATGCTTATTTACGTTTCACCCTTGAGTGTCAAGATACTGTGATTTAATATTACATCATCAAAGAGAGACAGCAGGGAGGTTTTTTTCTCTTTCAATAAGCTATAAATTTTAGTGAAGCCAAGCTGCTTTAATTTTAAACAAAGCATCAATGTGTTGGCCAAAGCTCATCAACATTGTATGTTAATGTGTCATAATGGATCTGCAGGTGAATATCACTTGTACGGCCACATAATCGCAGTCCCGTCCACATGGGAGCATTGTTTTTTTTACTAAGTTTCAGAGTGGAAAAAAGAAAGCCATCTTTAAATGCTCTTGCAGTTTGTGGAAAAATGCAACCTTTAAAAATGATGATGTCATATAACCACTTGAGACGTGAGAGATCATCATCATCTTTATTTTGGTCYGTCGTAGGTGTGGATGAAAACATTTTTAGAAATGGGGCTGTTTTTRTGAAGWTGTTTTTAGAAACAACAAAARRAARMMMAAAAGGATTGTTTTGGAAAATTMCCATGTGGATGGACCTCAGAAGTCCCATTGGCTTAAATCTTAAATTAGTACATCATAATAAGCTCTTGCTATCATYTTATCAAGTGCGTACCTACACTTTAACTCAGATGCTGTTATAAAGTTGGGTTGTCTGTGATTTTTGCCACTCAGGCATACAGAGATTCATATTCATATAGATGCAGATTCACATACACCCTTAACATTACTTTTTGTTACTTGTTCCTTCAACAGAAAGACTTGTATAAAGCTCGTATTCAGGGTTCAAACATAACCGACATACCTCTTGTAACCTCTGCTGAAATCAGATTACCTGTTCATTATGAACAGTTCTGATCAACTCATTAGGGATCATCTCATTAACCTGAGCCCAGTTTCTGAACTAGCTGAGCTGGGTTTCTCCAGGGTATTACGCGTGCAAAACATCATGTACATTTTCTGGTTCTCTTGAGCAAACACTGGTGGCTTGGAGGTTTTGGCCAGTGGAAATATTTGCCCTCTTTGGGTCACAGTAAATCAGAAATCCTCTTGAAAGTATGAAGAACTTCATAGCCACCGTGAGTTTAAAGTGTTTGACACAGCATGCTGCTTGGATGCCTTAAAMCTGCTTTTCAACTTTGCTTTTTACTTCATTTAAAAAAAGGCTGGATGATTTATAACAAAAAAATCCTCTTATTTAACACTATAAAAATACTATTTCATAATGTTTGCTGCATTACCACATTCATTTATTCACTTGCTTCTTGAACAAAAGGGCCAGTTTATTTCTTACCCTGTGAACAGATAACACCCACTAGATGAGGCATTTACTTACAATGTGTATATATTTAATAGATAGTTTTAACTTCTCTACAAATACAGTTAAGAATCAATGTTAAGCTCATTTTTATTGCAATCTAAAAGTTAAAAGGTTACTAGAAGCACTAACATTAGATTTTTAAATCAAGACTAAAAAAAATCTTACGTTCACATTGCAACTGTTCTAAAACATTTTCTCTGCTAAGAATATTTTGCGCCTACAGATACAGTGCAACTGATTTCCCAATGTTTAATTTTTGCAGCATAAAAGTCCACCGTGGTGTTAGATTGTAAAGAAATACTCCTAACACAGACTGTGTGTTTACATTTGAAGCCACAGTGTATGCAGGTCTGTAAAATCCTTGCACACATTCTGACAGTTTATCATTATTTGAACTCAGGTCCTGAATCTTAAAGTTCAGTTACAAATGGAAGAAGAGCTGTTTCAAATGATAAACTATTTTGTAGTAATCTGACAGAGGTCATTTGTTAAATCATATTCGGCCTTGGTGCATTTGTAACATTTCATATATATATATATATATAGCAACTTGTTCCACACAGACGTGTTTCCTTGTAACCACAAGCAGTGTTGGGGAAAATTCCTGCTTCAGTCAGACTGAAAGTTCATCTCCATTCATGATGTTACTGAAAAACAACGTTAGCGTAACTCCATGTTRGTAAAATACTCCTAATAAGGCTTCAGTTGGGTGCTGCTTTCTGAAAAAAAAAAAGTTGCATAGGCCGAGTTGCCAAAGATTTTCCATTGCCTTTCCTCTTTAGGTCTTTTCCTATTTCGCCTCACATTTCAATATTTACATCTCACATCAACACCTTGTCACCTGACTGATGTGAACTGAATGGCTAAGCCCTAGCCTGATTAATAAATCTGCCTTGTTTTGTTTCACTCTCTATCAGTGTATCTGACTATTAGAACACTGAATGGTCTCTATGTAGAGTGTTTGGCACCATCTAGGCAGTCTGAATCTTCTACAGTCTGATTGCAGAGATAACCACTCCTGGTGCTTGGGCACCTTTAATTTCCAGGCAGCTGTATTGTAGTTATGTCACATTGTGGCTGACGTGATGTAAAACTTTAGACTGTATTGAATCAGGAGGCGAGAGTCCCAGCTACACCAATACCAGTCTGAAAATTGCCTTGATTGGTACCCAGATATACTGTATTTGCGATCAGCTGGAAACAACTCCTGATGGCAGTGATCAGTTTGCAGCATTATTTAGACAATTGTGGACTATAATTTGCTTCAAATGAACAAGGTGATGGACAATCAAGGGAACAACTCTGCAAAATGTTTATTTAACTAAATAAACTAGAAGTTTTTGCTGCAAAACCACATTTTATGAGACTTTTAGCTGCTTCTGAATGCATGTTCCATTGAAATGTGTTATTAATTACACCTTTAGGGTGTGACCTTTAAAACTGCAAGATTATTTTAACCACTTCCAAGTTTTAGCAGATTTTCAAAACGGGGCCTCCCCCAAAGTAGAGGGACTAACTAGCGATCAATACGGACTCATTGCTCATAACTGGGAAAATAATTCAGAGTAAGCTAAAACCATTAAATCAAACACAAACGCTTAAGTTTAGGAGTGTTTTATTATTTTAGAAGGGCGCCAGAAGCTTACATCAGAAATCGTGCCCCCACTTCTCATAGTGGCTAAAACAGACGTGTGAAATCCCCCTCAAAGCTCTTGTGTTTCAAACGCAAGTGGACCTAYGTTGGATATTTGGGCAGCATAAACCTCAGCTCTTTTCCAACATGCTCTTTCAAAGGCGGTGCTTTGTTTTATGTTTTTTTTAAGAATGTGTATAATGTATATGTGTAAAATTATGTATATGTTGAACGTGAAAGATTTACAGAAAGATACCAGGCTTTATCAAATCACAGTATTATTTTTTGAGAGATATATTTAGATCCTGTAAGTACTGTTAGCTGAGTCAAAGACTGATTAAACAATAAACTAACATGAATCTGACTGTTTCTTCTTAGAATGCAAAGAAATGTGATGTGTAACATTTGATAAACACTATCTGCAGGTTGAGTCCTAATGAGCTGAATGTAACTTCAGTGGTTACTTATTGAGAGTAGGGTTGGGTAAAATCATATCTTTTGCAATGATGGGGCGGCTGTGGTGGAGTGGTTAGGGGAGTCGTCCTGTAACCAGAAGATCGCCAGTTCGATTCCCTGTTCCAGCCGTCTCAGTCCTTGTGTTCTTGGGCAAGACACTTCACCTGCCTCGCCTTGATGGTGGTCAGAGGGTCCGGTGGCGCCAGTGCATGGCAGCCCCACCTCTGTCAGTGTGCCCCAGGTAGTGGCGGATCTAGGATTTTTCTGAGTAAGGGGCCACAATATTCCTAGAGGGGCCAAGTATTTGTTCAACATCCTTGCACATATATCCTTGGTTTTGGTAAGGTGTATAAATTTAACTCTGGTCCACCATCCGGCGTCTCAGGAGGGGGAAGCAGTGCAGCACCAACACTGTTTATGGTGTGGATGGTGTGCTGCTGACCT